TTTCTAAACGAATTTATGTCATAATTCGTCATAATTTTCCCACATCATGTCAATATTTATTTTATCTATACTAGGTAAAAGGTAAATCATTATCTCAATATTTATTCTATATATTCTAAGTAAATCTTCTCATCTATCTCAACGGTCCGCAGGTAGTATTTCATACTTTTCTATTCATAATCAAATATACCAAACCTTCACAAATTTTACTTCACAAAGAAAGTGTTCAATAATTTATATTTTTTTTCCTTCTTTGCAATCCATTTATTTTTATTACATATATATAAATTATATTATTTTTAATATTTCACACGTTAAACATTTCAGGAAAATATACCATCCCGTGCATCGCACGGGTACTGTACTAGTAGGTTAAAATTAACAGTGAATTAAAATTCAGGTGATGTTTGACAATAATTGATTGTTATTATTTAAATATATTAATAATATTGAGAAAAAAATAAATTGCATTAAAATTGAGTTGTATTTTTAGTTAATAAGTTGTAAAACAAAAAAAAAACATTTTTTTATATCCAACTGCTTTTTTCAAATTTAAAATTTGAGTGGAAAAAATATGAATGAAGTGTAGTAAAAATTGTGAATTGAACGAATGATATATTTTTTCGTTTTTGTGGGGGGTTTAATTAGATGGAAAATGTATCCAATCGCTGGATGCTTTTACTAATGTACATTCACTCTAACGTTGAGTGTTTTTTTTTTATGACATTATCATTTTTTCCTGATATTATAGATTCACTTGGACCATGCATTTATCATATACTTTGTATGCAGAGAGCAAATTGGTATAGGTACTAATCGAGGACAAGTCAATATTACTTGATCTCTATTCTCTACATAATTAATCAAAATGGTAAAGAATTATATTATCTAATTTTTACAATGGCACTTATTGAATGAAGATACTTTTTTACTAATAGCAAACTATGCTATATTTTCTAATTTTTCATTCTTTCTTGATTGAAATTTAGTTGTTGATTTATATTTGATACTCAACAATCCAACTAAGAATCCTCGAATATTTACTAGCAAAACAAGGAAAAGAAAATAAAAACATTAACTTAACAAGAGCATTTAATTTGTCAAAATATGTAAAATTTATTAATGTAAATATAGAGAAATGGTGAATATTTCATCATTTGAAGGTGAAAATTGATTTACTCCATGTTTTTTCAAATGTCCTATTAATAATATTAATTATTATTTTATCAAATCCATGCTCTTAGATTGTTACTTTTTTTAAAGGTAAACCTTATTGAATATACAGATGAATGGACTTTAAGAGGGGTAGATTTCAGATGCCATTAGGTGATTGTTCTGAGTTTGTGATGGCATCTTTCCATTAGGGTAGATTTAAACACTGATTAAATAATAAAAGCACTTCCTCTTGAAGCCATAACTAGTCTGTTGTGTATCTATTAATCACATTTTTCTGTCAAAAATAGTTTTAAAGAATTTGTGTCATTCAAAAACTAATATTTAAACAGAACTTTAATTTTCTACTGAATTCACAATTTGTTTTTTTTTACGTCATTTGAGTTCAAATAATTAACAAAAAAGTTGGCCACAGTTAATACCTACCGTTTACTATAACCACTAAAAAGTAACATCATCACTTTCTACCCTTAGGGCTTGATTGTTTATGAAATAATTTGTTCAAAATAAATTATTTTGGTTAACCACAGTTAATTTTGAAAATATATATAGTATAGTTAGTTGTTAGTAGAATTTTAACAATGTATTAAAATAAAATAATTGAAATTTGCAAAATAAGCTAAAAGAAAGTGCAAAATAACCGAGTACTAGAATGTCATAATTTAGAGAAAATGATGTCAATTAACATATCAATTTGTTCAGCATGGAACAACAAATGTATTGATAATTAGATAATTTAAAATCGTACAATACAAACTAGGATACTATTTATATATCTACCTTTTTGCACGCTGTTATCACCAACATTAGACACAATTAACCATTTACTGTGTTTCTAAGCATAAAATGGATTTAAAACTCTAGGCACATCAAAAAAAGAAAAACGAAAAATGATTCAGTTCCAGTAAAAACATATATGTGCATAGAAATGAAAAGGAGAAGAATAGATAAGGTAATTGAATTTTACAGGGATGAGTACACCATCAGCAATTCGTAGCTTGGTCAGCATTTGAGGTTGAAGATAAGTTTTTGTCTGGATTAGGGTTGTAAAAGAGTCAAGCTGAGCTTGAGTCCTTAACGCTCAGCTCGTTAACTAAACGAGTCAATAATCGAGCTCAATCTCGACTCGTTTATTAATATTACCTAGTTGAGCTCGAGTCTTAACGAGCCGAATTATGTTAAATTGTATGGAAATTATTATTTTCGAGCTTTAAGTAAATGAGCCGAGCTAATCCGTTAACTAAAAGTGATCTTGAACTCGACTCACTTATTAAATGAGTCAAATTGAGCTCACGAACAACTCGTTTTGTTTAACAACTCTAACTCTAATTTGAAAAATTGCGTTATGGAAATTATTATTTTTGAGCTTTAAGTAAATGAGCCGAGCTAACCCGTTAACTAAAAGTGATCTTGAACTCGACTCACTTATTAAATGAGTCAAACCGAGCTCACGAATAACTCGTTTTGTTTAACAACTCTAACTCTAATTTGGAAAATTGCGTCACGTATTCTTAAACCTTACAAGTTCAAGGATATTAGTGTAATTTAGACATTCTCTCATGCTATTATCAGAATAATAGCAAACTACAGGGGTCACTCTGATAATTTACCAATCTTGCTTTCGCTGCCAAGTGTCAAATGTTTCTGCTGAAAAAACAAGATCGGAAACCGTACGCTCACGCCGCTCATAATCCCTGAATAAATCGCCGATTTCCACCCAAAACCACGGCGGAGCATTTGAGATTTCTAGGGTTTTAGAGAGAGAGAGATAGGGAGAGAGAGAGAGAAACCGTGAAATGGATGGTTCTACGGAGGAGCAAGGAGGGGCCAGCAACGGCGGGATGTTGTACCACGAGGTACAAGAGTCGAAGCTGTGCGCGGTCCACTGCGTGAACACGGTCCTGCAGGGGCCTTTCTTCTCGGAGTTCGATCTGGCGGCGCTGGCCTCGGATCTGGACCGCACGGAACGGCAGATGATGGCCGGCTCCGTCACCGGAGACTACCTGCCGGAGGTCTCACACAACGTCTCACTCGATGGGGACTTCAGCATACAGGTAGGAGGAATTCAATTCTTCCTGAAAATCTGTCTCTGCATATGTGCTTTTGTTGATTGTGTGTTGTCTTTAGATGTTTCGTTCCTTTTTTTTTCCGGGGAATTTTATTGTTTCGTGTTTAGTGAAAAAGGATGAGATTTGAGCTGAGATATGTTCAATTGAAAGAGTATGATTTGCAGTTTAATCATTTTCACCTGCTTCCTTGATGAATGAAGCTCTTTACTCTATGAATGAAGCTCTTTTAGGGGTTTGCTTGTATGAATAGTAAGGTTATTGTTACTGTAGCTTCATTGGCGAGGTCTTGGTAACACGTAGAATTATGTTATCATTTTTTATTTTGTTAAAGGATTTTAATTTTTAGGATTCATATAATGCTAGCTGCCTGTGAAAACCCCTGCATGTGATGCATTAATGACTGAACCGTGCATGGGTTTGCCGGTTTTGCAGACGGCTATATGACATTTCATTTTCGGGGCTTGTTCAAGTTATCTCCTTTATCGTGTGTACTCTTATTCTCGCATTTACTGGTCTTGAATTGAATTAGTTTCGTAACTTTTTCTGCATAACAAGAAGATGTAAAATGGAACAGGAACTGATAATTAATTCTTTAAAGTTTAAAAATCCTAGGGAGGTTGTAATTACCATTTTTCAACGTATCTTTAGGGTTCGGACTATAGTTCCCTTTTTGCAATTTTCTCCCTGCCTGTGAGTACCACGTGTCTGATTGTATATTTAGATATAATTACAAAAGTTACTCTTAAGGTCTGGCCTTGTTGGAGAAAGAATCCAAATACCACTTGAAGTTTTTACTCCCTGGGTTTTATTCTATTTAGACTGAATCACAATGGCCAGTTTGTAGTTATTCATGTACTTTATTGTCTTCTGGGACTTAGGATCGGAACTGCTTGCTTTTTTCCGACCAATGTTCCAGCGAGAACACTTACAGAAGAAAAATGCAGATTTATTGATTACAGTAACATCTTAAGTAATAATCTGAGTAATCGTATTTAGTTAACAAATCTGACATTCTTGGCTTGGGGGAAATGTGCTAAATTAATGATTTGCTACATTTGCAAGAGAATATGTGTTCGAATATTTAAGTAAGTCTCGTTCGATATATTGAATGACATCCTTTTTACTTCATAGTGCAGCAATGATTATCTGTGAATAACTTGTGATCAATGTTTTGTCTACTACTGAGTTTGACAACTTTGAATTTCATCTACACGTGTAATATTGCTTAGTTAATAGATATTATCAATCGCAACTTGTTAAAAACTTGCTAAATTTATCATTTGCTAACATTTGTAAGAATACATTTTCGAAAGTTCACGTAGGTTTTATCGTAATATTAAATGGCATTTTCTTACTTCATGGTGCATAAATGATTACCAATAAAAAGCTCTTGTGTTGAATTTGACAATTTTTGAATTTCACCTCCACACGTTTTCTTAACACTGCAAACCTCTCATGTGTTGCTTTAAGGATTTCTTTCCAAGTCTTTT